ACCTCCCAGATAATTAGACTATAGGAACAACTTTGATGCATCAACCCAAAAGTCCACCTAATCCACTGCTCCATCTGTACCAAGAGATGACGGTAGATGCTGAAGGAGGAATGTATTAATCAGCTCTCATATATGATGATGCTTTCCCTGCTGTAGCCTCTAAAAAAACCAACAATAATCAGTGTGGGCTTTCCTGAGTCAGGTTGCATCTGGAATGTCGCATCTCTCTTTTCCAGGCATTTATCTAATGTCTTTTCCAACTCATTTGGATCTAATTCTCTCAGGGAGACAAAAGGTAAAGTTATGGTAACTGGAGCTATTTATGTTACAAAGGAGACATGTAAGAAGGGGGTTAAAGCTAATGAATGGCTTTGGGAATGGACGGGACCTTTCTCAGAAGAGAACAATAGGGTGCTTTTATGAAACTGGGAGACAGAAAACACAAAACTATTAAAAAAGAAAGAACGCTCTTTTGTATTATTCACCATTAGCCTTCAGAACTCATCGCCACAAGATAGTACCCAGTGCTAGCTGCAGAGAGCCTGTCTGGTCTTTTAGGTGATGATAGTTGAGGTGGCTCCTACACAGCTTAGTGAGTCAAGCAGGCAACAACTTCAGCCAGTTTTCATTTGGACGATGGGAATTGAATTTCAACTCGTCACTACTCATCAGGCTCAGAAAGAAGGAAACTGTCAGGAGCCTTCCTGGGTGAAGCATCAAGTTAACAGGCAGGGCTAACACTACACGTGAACGCTGACCATCTCGCTACGCTCACGGATGTTGCTCCATGCTGGACTTCACTTTCCAGGACAGGAAAGGGAGCATGCTTTCCTTACCTGGGTTGCCGCTGGCTGACCGATGACCACCCATCCTGGACACTGCTGGTCACTGTGATGTGAGACGGAGACGTTGGAAGCCCACTGATCAAGGAAGCCTTTGGGAGTGTAAACGCCACAGTCTTTGATGCTGGTCATCTGCTCAAATTCCTCGCATACTCCATCACCATCATGGAAATAGCACCTGCTGGGTTCATCTGCCAGGAGAAAGCAGAGAGAAATCACAAAGGACTGGCTACACATGTCTGCAATCTAGCTGGTAGGACCTGACAACATCAGTGGTCATGTAACTGCTGGACCAGGTCCCTGGGAAGTGAAAGCGTGGGCACTTCTATGCAAAGCAATCTAGTTGGTAGGACCTGACAACATGACCAACACAGTGGTCATGTAACTGCTGGACCAGGTCCCTGGGAAGTGAAAGCGTGGGCACTTCTATGCAAAAACAAGGTGATTTTAAAAAAGCCAAGCAATAATAGTCAACATTTATACTGGGCAATTCCCTCAAGATATTTCCTAATGTAAGGGGTTTTCTGCTTAATTCTATCTATCTCCACTTAAAAGGATGGAGACAGAAGAAAGCAGAGCTAGAAAATACATAGAGAGACAATGTGGGTGTTGGCATAATTCCACCACTTGGATGGAAAAGCGCCAACAGAGGGTCTGGTCTACAATGTTTCCCTTTTTATTTTTCAAAGATATCTGCAAAACAACAACACCAACAGCAACTGTGAATTCAGGGATAGAGAAACCTGCCAAGTTCACAGTTGTAGTGACCAAAGGGCCAAACGGATCTGTTTATCCAAAGAGCAGATACAGTACGCATAGTGTGAGGGTAAGCTTGCCACATACACACACGGCTTCAACCAACATGACTCAGATTTGACCTGAAAGGATCAAAAGCAGCAGGAGACTTTATTATCCTTGTCCATTTATTCTGTGGCTTCTCTAATGAGACTGCCAACAAAGATGCCAAATTTTTGAGGTTGTTTCTGTAACACTGGCCCATTAAAAACTGAACTGAGATCCATCTACTCTTTTCAAACAGACTGCATAGCAATAATGACTTTCAGTCATTAGAGTACTCTGTGAAATGGAAACCTTTGACCTGTTGGTATCCTATTTTGTATTGTATTATCATTGCCAGTCCCCAGAGGTATCCAGTTCTGACAGCCTGTTGTATTTTTGTCTGGCAAATAAGCCTCCTGAAAAAACGGTAGGAAATTAGCCAGAGCTGCTAGCTGGACTGATGGAAACGATCCCTAAGGAGGATGCTGTCGGTAGCATTGGACTATCTCAAGCTAGGTGTCAGAAAATCCAACGGCTGCTCAATTTTGAGCTACTTCCAAACTACTAAATCCCCTGTTTATTTTTCCTCCTAGTTTACACAGTGAAATACCATCATGAGCCAGAAAAAAATCAGTTTATTGCAATTCAATTATTTAATGACTTTCACTCCTTTTCCCCTCCCTTCCTCCCAATTCCCTGTGCAAAATTCCAGGTCCTTGAGAGGGTGTGAGTTTGAAAGAATGGAGGGGTCTATCAGGAAAGAATGTCATTACGGTTTCATTTCATCACGACCTCTGCAGACAACTTGCGTACGTGGATAAGTGTGAGGAACTGTGCCTTTGCTGGACCAGTACTCCGAGCTGGTGAAAGGGAGCTAACATGAATCTGGAAGCTGTTCACTTGTAGGAGTGCAGCCTTGCGTCTGAGCGAACATTCCCAGGGTGGCCAAAACTCTTGACCCTACATGTCACATCTTAAAATCTTCATATGGCTGGGAGCCACCCAACATATACCACACACCTCGAAGAGCCCGAGGAGGAGCACTTGGGACAGTGCTTCACAGACAAAAGATGACAATGCCTCCCGGGGTGTCCCATTACTCCATGGTGGGAGGGGGCTAGGGTGGATGTGCAGATGGGCCCTAAGGCAACCCAGCAGTGCTGGCCCCAGCACCCAGCTGCCTTGCCTCTTCCCTCGGCCGGATTGCCCAACAGCCCCGATGCCAGCAGGGCTCTGCTACTCCTCGTGGGCTATTGACCCAGCTGGGAACGTGTGCTTGAACTGCTCACGAACCCTATGTGCCCTTACAGCCCCAGTTTGGGCAACCCCCTAACATACCTTGTTTCTCTGCAGGGATTGTTAATGCTGTCATGGGGCTGCACCAGCATGGCTCATTCACCCGGGAGAGACACGCTGTGCCTGGCCAGCTCAAGGAAGGGGCAGAGCAGGCGTGTAATGGATGGCCAAAGAAACAAACTCTGGGTTCCCTCACGTTACCCTTCTGCATCTCCTGCTCTGCTCCTCTCTCCGCAGAGACGTATCAAAGCGTAGGCCAGGTCTCTGAACAGTGGGATAAGGCAAAGCAGCTGACCCGCCACAGAGCACTATGTCCCAGTTTGAGCGAGAGTCTCAGCAGACACCTCTGAGAAATGCTCAGCTCTGAAAAGACTGTGGTCAGCAATGAAAAATCCTCAAAAACAAACCCCAAACATATGAAAATAAGTATTTTTGGAAAAATTGTTTCTTGGTCTCTTTATGAAACAGAGCTTATTTCTGTAAAAGGCCAAAAAAAGGAAAATACCTACCATATTAAACATACCCAACCGTTAGCCTATAAACACATGCAGAGTCAGATACACGCTTACAGGCACCCAAGTGCCTCCTGCTGCACACCCACACCCCCAGAAACACTGACACACAAACACATGTGCGCTCTCTTTACACATCCCCAGTGCAGCTACCCCGCTGGTGCAAACACATCCCCAGAAACTCACAGCCTAATTTTAGGCATATGCGCTTAGACCGTGTTTCCCTGGCCCTCCTGAAGCACTGACTCATTTTCACGACAGGCACTGAAGTAAGCACAACATTTATAGAGCAACATACTCCTGCACCGGCTCCAAATGTTCCCTCCTAATGCAATGATAAACGTAATGGGCTTCTGATAAGATCATGTGTTTGGGATAAAAGAATACTCAAGACCTACTCCAATCCGATGACTTAATTTGTACTCACATGGATGGGAAGGCAGCCTCTGAATAGCTGTGATCCAGGCCAGCGTGTGATCCTAACAGAGGCTAATTTGTTCCTGATTATGCTTAAGACCCCAATAAATCTGTCTGCTCGGAGTCTGCAAAACCTGAGGGAGGAACCAAACGGAGAGGCTGAGATGTCTGAATTAAATGGAGACTGCCTAAATGATTAACAAAGTCTTAATGAACGACACTGTCACGAGCCCTTCCGCCGTGGCCGTCCTGGAGAGTCGCGGCACCCTGCCCTCCATCGCAGTGCAGTTCGCTGGCTGGATGACACTCGAAAAATAGTGGGAGAAAATGTCTTTACAAGCCCAGTTTTCTATTAAGAAGGATCTGTAAGTCCTACTACTGACACGTCCAACAGAAGCGTACAATGCTGTGCTTTGAGGGGAGCGTTGGTGAGAAGAGGGTAAGACTTTTCCTGTCCATGAGCTTTTGAATTCTGAGTGATGGCAAAAAGGGTGACTTCTTTGAATCCTTCCCAGACACTGCTGAGGGCACTGACAAGGGCATCAACCTGCAGCAGCCAAATGTGGTGCATCACTGGGTGGGTTGCCAAAAAGAAGCAGAGGCTCTTCTTCCGCAGGTACTGAACACCAGTTCTGACCGTGGTCTCTCTGTGGTCGTGGATGCTTGGTAGGTTACACGCTGGGCTGTACATTTTCATGAGCAAACTGAGGAACAACCAGATTGTCTCTTCCTACGACTGCCCTCACAAAATAAAAACTAACAGGCTTCTTCCCTTTCCACAGTGGTGTGAACACAGCTCAGTTAGATCCACAAAGTCTTACAGGCTGAAAGCTGAGGAGGGCAGTGTCAGGAGTGGTATATTTCTAGGAAGCAGGAGCTAACGTCTGTATTTCCATAATGGTGCAAAATGCATTTTCTTCGCTCTTCTCAACTGCTGTGACATGAAATGCATCCAGAACCTTGGTAATATGAGCTAATTCTTGTCTCCACAGAGGTCTATAGGCTCCCAAGACATGTTGGAGGCCACAGTGATGTGTTTATTGGTCACATATGGCCTGCATCATGGACGACGTTCATCAGCACTGTGGACTTCTCACTTCAAAGTCGAATCTGATTTGGAGGAAGGGAAAATGAAGGAAATCTGATCTGTCCTCAAGGAAAAATGACTTCAAAAAATTAAAAAGCAGTTGCTTGGAAATCCAGCTTAAATCTAGAACAGTAAAATGTCTGCAGGCGTAGCACCTGGCAGCAGGAGAGAGTGTCTCTGGGGGATTGAGAACAGATGCTGAAGGATCCTGAGCTGAACTCATGGAACATGAATTCATTCAGGCAGCCTGAGCTCCTTTTCCGTGACAAAGTCCTTACTGCAGGCAGAAAAATGTTGGGGTCAAACCGAAGTCCCTCTCTTGTCCTTGCTTTGGGAAAAGGCAGTCTTCGGTGACAGATTTCGGTGACATCTGGGAATCCTTGAATGCTCCATGGCAGCCGTCAACCTGGAGAAGGCGGATTTGTTGGGGAAACAGATTTGCAAGGCCTGGCCTGCTTACTATTGCAGCTGGGCTTCCAGATCCAGAACGATCCTGGGGTTCTTCTGTGTTGCACCAGAAAAGGACACAAACTCTGTTTCCCCTTGCTTATTAAGCTGCCCAAGCCAAATGCAGCCTATTGTACTGAAATACAACCCCCTTTCTCTAGTGAAATGAAAGGATGCACAAGGTAATGCAGAGGATTTAGAGAGCGTCTGGGAAGTGCCTGGATGAGCAGGTAACTCCCCATCACAGTTACCTGTTCAAAGCAAGGCTAGGAGATCACCAGTGAAACAAATGAAGTCTGGCACGCATCAGGAAGCAGACATGCAGGATATACACTTATCTGGGATAGGCAGCCTTCCACCTCATTAAAAAAGAAAAAAAGAGATAAAGAGATCCAATTCATAGCACAGGGCACATCCTCTGACGAGGCTTTTAATGTCCAAGCCACATGGTCAAAGTGCTGGGGACAGACACTCGGGACAGCTTCCTGTTTTCAGCTAGAACACAGTGATTGGCACCGGCAGAGTCTTCTTTTGTGCAATAACTACTATTTTTTTAAAAGGCTAGACAAAAAAAGGAGTATTTTTAAGCTCAGCTGTTTACTTAGGGATGTTTCCAACTATAACAAGCCTCCTGCCACATAACTATTTGTCC